TTGCAGGGCCATGTGCTGCCTGTGAACACACGAGCTCTCCAGAGCAGAGCCAGGCTGGGGGAGCAGCACAGGGGAGGCTCCTGGGAAAGGCAACCCCCCAGTGTGAGACCCCCCCCAGGGATGAGTGCGGGGAAACGCCCGCCCGGCTGCTCCGGCAGATCACCGCTCCAGGAGGGGCTGTCACAGGGCAGGGAGACTCAACTCTGCTGTTTCTGTGTCTGGGAGAGCAATAAATAAATCTGTGGGTGGCAAAAATGGGATGAGTCAGAGACAGGAGAGAGAGAAAGTCATCTTCTGCACAGCACATTACCCGAGTCCAGCTCACCGTGTGCTCCAGGGACTCGTGTCTGAGGGTGCCCTTGTCCTGCTCGAGCTCCCTGATAACCTCGAGCACCCTGCCAGAGGGTGATGGGGAACAGTGGGAGCCTTGGCCATGGCTGGGAGGGCTGCAGCCCCCTCCCCAGCCCTGGGGCACCAGTGGGAGCACAGCTGGATCCATCCAGCACCTCAGGACCTGGAGAGGACGGGCTGGGGCATCGCTCGAGCCCCAGCACCCGCCTCCAGCTCCTGTTTCCCTCCATGACCTCGGGCAGCTTTGCCTTTTTGGGTGCATCACACGGACACACGTGGACCCCCCACCAGCCCCAGGGTGAGGAGGGCCCCAGGAGAGACGCCCCAGCTGCTTCCCAGCACCACGGACACCACAGAGGGCCCGGGGAGTCGGGAACAGTGACACGGGATCTGCTCCCAACTGTAAATCTTGTCAGAGCGGGGACTGCCTGTAATCAAACCCCCGGCGCTGCTGCGGATGTTGTGCCTGTCAAAGGAATTTCATGTGAATCTCGACTTGCCAGGCACAAATCCAGCCTGGATTTGTGGGAATGAAAGGGCAAAGCACCCTCACAGCACACTGTGAGAATGAGCAACAACAGGGGAACTGCTGGCGGGCCACTGCAAAATAAACAATTTCTCTCTCCAGTTGACATCTTGGTGGGGAGAACCCGCTCAGCCCGAGGGCTGGAGCCCTGTGGCCTCACAGCTCCACGTTTTTCACAAGTTTATGCCCTCTCCACTCTCAGCTCATGTTCAACTCGGCTTTTCCAAGGCTGAAGCAGCACTTTCAGACACAGGGGGGGCTGAGGCTGTCACTATTCAGGAACACAGAGGTGGGTAGCTGTCAAAGCTGTCACTGATCTCAAGAAGTAATAATCAAACATACCATACAAAAAGGTGCAGCTCAGGAACTCCCAGACTGATGTATGCAAAGAAAAAAACAAAAAAAGAATGCTGGGAACCTGGCTATAAAAACATGGTTTTAGTGTTGTCAAGTGGGCCATTAAATCAGAGGCAAAGACTCCTTCATCTGCACAGCAGGAGCTGTTTGTCTGGTGTGTCAGTGCTCAGGTTCCTTGGCTTGGCTTTCAGGTGTCTACTTATATTGAACACCCAAAGGGACATTAAATATCAAAACCAAGTGAAACACACTCTGTGGAACTCTTACAAAGCCTCCTCTTCCATCATCCCCCAAACCCCATGGAGAATGTAAGGTGAGGAACTGCCTGCAAGAGCTGAATCATCTCTTGGAGCACAAACATTGCCATTAGGTGACTAAGACCAAAACAACCATCTCTGCTTCTTGCAACTGATGCTGTAATTAAAAAGCAGACAAGTCCCTTCGCAGCCCCTCGTGCTCTTGGGTCTGTGTGAAACCCTGCAAAAGGCAGGTTGGAATAGTGGGGACCCTGTGGAGACCTGGGAGTGCTTTGTGTTCCCAGAGCATCCCCTCTGGGGATGGGTGGGATGACACTGGTCAGCTCTGACCCTTCAAATAAGGCAAGTGTCTCCCTGAGGGCACAGGGAATGCCTTGTGGAAAGGGATGTTGTGCCAGAAAAGCTGCCTGCCTGCAGGTGGGTTCTGACCTGTCTCTGGAGCAAGGAGGTGTTGAGTGAAAATTTGAAAACCTGCCTGTGGGAATCAGCCCATCTTTTGGGAAGAGCCTGAGAGCCGGGGGAACCAGGGGGTGTCCACCCTGCAGGGAAGGACAGGGCACAGCACAGAGCAACCACACAGACATCTGAGGCAGGTTGAGCTCAAGTTTTTATATCTGAACAAATTTATATTGAGAAAAAAAACCAGTTTTCACTGGATTTTCCCCATAAATTCCATCCATCCACCCTCTCCTGCACCATCGCCTGAGAACGGTGCGTCATCCGAAGCCTTCACATTCCCACGAAGCAGAGTCAAGCAGAACTGAAACCAGCCAGGCTCTGCTCCCCCTTCCAAATGTTCCCAGCGTTGGGAGGGAAGCCAGGAGGCTTTAGGAGATGTTTTAGGAAGCTGTGGGTTCGGCTGCTCCTCTCAGCACGTTGCCCACCCTGCCTGCCCCGGGCACCTCCTGCTCCACAGCATCTCCCACTGCCCTCTCCTGGCACCTCTGCTCTGATCCTTGGATATGGCAGGAGTTCAGGGCCCTTCCTCTCAAAAAAACCAAACCCAAACTGCAAACATCCTTCAATCTGAACACTCACAGCTTTAGGGTAGGTCAGGTTGTCTACAGAGTTACTGGTACATCCCTGCTCATGTAATGAGGTTTGTTTGGACATAAAATTCAAGGAAAACGTGAAAACATCTCACATAAAGCAAATTATAGCCCTGTGGCTCAGGAAAACCTGATTTTCAAGGCTGTTTCCCTAATTTACACCCACAGGATCGTGCAGGGTTTCAGTGCAGCTGTAGGAACAGCATTCCTACCCCCACTGACCTGACTTCAGCCACTCTGGGGTCCTGAATTCCCTCTTCTTCAGGAAACTCTTGGCTCTCCCTGGGAGTGAGGATTTCCCTGAATGAGCTTCACTTTACCCATCTGAAAAGTGAGACAAGGTCACACGTGAGCTGCTGGGGGTTGCATTTCCCTGAATCCTGGGTTTAAAGGTGATGGAGGGATCACCCCCAGGCAGACTCCCTGGAACTCTCAGATCAGTTACTTTACCCTTCAGGAGTCTTTTCCTTGCTCTTCCCCAGCTTTCTCCCAGTGGGACTCAGCCAGGCTCTGTGGATAAACAAAATCCCACATCTGAGAGCTGCCCGTGCTGTGGTTGGGGAGTGTTAATCTTATAGATGTGGTATCAGAGTTCCTGCTGCCACCACAAAGCAGAGCTGAAGAAACGCCTTGAGCAGTGCTGCAGGCACCATGCTGGGCCTAATTGCAGCAGGGATGATGCACATATGGGGTTTATAATTATTATTTTATCATTATTCTAAGGACACACAATTTTTAATATAAGGGGTTTCATACACCGGTATTTATTTGCTCATTAAATGGTTTAGCTGGAGACAGAACATCTTCAGAGGGCTTTTTTTTTTTCCCCAGGATGGGCATCTGGGGTGGCAGTGCTGTATTATTGTACATGAAAGGTATTTCCTTATTGGCTTCTTCCTTCAGAGCACACCCTGAACTGACACTTCCCGTGCTGACAGCTCAGCTCCCCAGGCTTCAAAGCACAACTTCTGGGAGGATTGCAGAGTGTGTGAGGCTGCTCCAGATGAAGCTGCAGCCCAGCTGACACACAAGCTCTGGGAAAGGAGTTTTCCCTCTTTTTGGAAAGCCTAAAGCAGAGATCCACAGTGGGATGTGTTTGGGGGTCTTTCGGAGGGGCAGGATGCACTCCCAAGCTGTGAGCACATTTTGAGGAGCTGGTTTCTTCTGTAGTTCCTTTGCTCCCTGTGTTTTCCCAACACAGCTGGGAGAGCTGAGGGGCTCAGCCAGAGCTGGGGGATTAACCCCGCACACCCCAAGCCAGAAATCAAAGCTCTGCTCCATCTCCCTGGGTCATTTGGCTGATCCAGGCTCCCCTAGGGATGCTTCAGGGAGGTTTGGAATGGTCAGAGCTAAGCCAAACCACAGCAACACTGTGTTCTCCTTGCATCCTTTCACCCAAGGATGCAGGAACAGAAACACACCCTGACCTGTGAGAAATCTTTCCAAAATCAAAAAGAAATTATGATCTCTCTGCTCCCCCATGGAGGCTGGAGTTCCCCATTGTGCTGATGAGGACTGACACTTCCCAACCTCAGTTCCCCATCAAACAGCACCGTCACCACCATCCCCTGGGGACCCACAAGCCCCTCTCCCCTTGGAGCTCTGCAGGCTCCACAGACCCTCTGCCAAACCCAACTCTCCCCCCTGCTGACGCCTCCATCCTGTTTGTGGTGTCTTTGGCACTTCCCCCTCCAGCACTTCCAGTCCCCTGCAGCTCCCCAGCCCAGCCAGCTCCAGCACAGCCCAGGCCTGAGCCAACAGTAACACATGGAAGCTCCTGGAAACTCCGGCACAGCCGAAGGCAGGAGCCTGTCCAGGGAACAGCCTGGCCCAGCAGCACCCACGGCCTCAGGGTGTCCCCCACAGCCCCCACCAAGGCAAACCCAAACAAGTTCACACCCCAAACCTCCAGCTCAGGGGGTGCTCAGGGCAGGGGTCTCCTGCCAAGGACTGGGGAACCACCACGAAATGGCACAGCTGTAAAACACAAACCCAAACTCCAGCAGCAAGTGGCAGATCAAGAACAGCTTCCCAGCAGTACCAGGGACCCTGTTACCAAGTGAGCCCCAGCAGTTCCTTCACTTATTGCTGAGACCCCACCCCAAGCGTCAGAAATTAATAAAGGGCAAGGCCAGGGGTTTGTTCCTTTTGTTTTATGCAGCTGCAACACGATCATCCCCTGGGATCATCTTTCCTCCTCCCAGACAGGTGAGGGGAAGCCACAGCCTCCAGGTACGGGGCAGTAACTGGATCCTGCAGACCCAGATACAGCCACTGCCAGGCAGGAACTGCCCACACAGCCCCTGCTGCAGGCACAGCTCCCACCACCATGCAGGTAAGTGCTTCAGCCTCCTACAGCTTTCATGGAATGGGTTGGGTTGGAAGGGACCCTAAAGATCATCTTTAGGCAGGGACACTTTCCACTAGCCCAGCTTGCTCCAAGCCCCACTCACCCTGGATTCTTACCCTGCCAGCTTCCATAGGGCAGCGTGAGGCCATAGGAAAGTTCTCCTTCAGGGACACTATTACCATGACAGGTCCTCAACAGCACCTCAGGCCTTCAGCAACAGGCTAAAAATAGTCAGCAAATACTAATAGCAAGTTATTCCCTACTATTGCCACACGTGGATGCACAAAACTTCTAAACCACAACTTGGGAATGTCCTTCCCAGCTTGGGATGTTGCTGTGCCATGTGAAGTACATTCCTGTAGATTCCTTCTGTTTCTAGGAGAAAAAGAGCTTCAAATTAATAAATGCAAAGACCACGGTCTAAAAGCTGTGACTGCTTTGCACAAATATATTTTAAAATGGAGGAAAGCTTTTTTGGTTGAGTGGCAGGAGAACTGAGTGTCCATGTTTTCCCTTCCCCAGCCGACACTCTGCAGGCTCCGGACTCACCAGTGGTGCTTCATCCTCTTTAATGTCCTGCTTTTCCACGTGCTGCTCTTCGGGGCGGATTTACTGGAGGAATATTTCCTGCACTCCTTCCCTCTGTCCTACACCGACGCAAAGACTCTGGAGATCAGGGAGAGGGCCAGGAAGCTGGACATGGATCCCCTAAAGGCCAACCTCTCTCACACTGTCAGCAGTGCAGTGACATGCTCGGGCCAAGAGGTGTTTTTGCTCATCCTCGTCCACAGCAGCCCAGAAAACAGGACAAGGCGCGACACGATCAGGCAGACGTGGGGCAACGTGACGGACACCAGGGGTTACACCGTCCTCACTCTGTTTGCTGTAGGAAAGGCAGCTTCAGAAAGCACCCAGCTGGAGATCAATGAAGAGGCTCACAAGCACAGGGACATTATTGAAGGCTCTTTCATCGATTCCCCGCAGACCCAGACACAGAAGATGCTGCTGAGCGTGGAGTGGGCGGTGACTTTCTGTCCCCGGGCGAGATTTATCCTCGAAGCAGATGAGGACGTGTTTGTGGGTGTTCCAAGCCTGGCTGGGTACCTGCTGAGCTTAACACAACTAGAGGACATCTACCTTGGGAGGGTGGTTCATCAGGGAGTGCCTGACAGGGACCCCCAAAGCCCTGCCTTCGTTCCCACCCATCAGTATCCCGAGGAGTTTTACCCGGATTTCTGCCACGGCAGCGCCTTCGTCATATCCCAGGACGTCGCCCGCAAGGTTTACGTGGCTGCCAAGGAGGTGCCACTGTCAGTGCCCCCAGATATTTTCGTGGGAATCTGTGCCAAGAAAGCTGGGATCACTCCCATGCACAGCTCCCGCTTTTCCGGGGGGAAGCACATCAGCTACAATCGATGCTGCTATAAATTCATCTTCACCTCTTCCAACGTGAAGGAGGACGAGCTATTTAAAGCCTGGGAGGAAACAAGCAGTAGGGAAGATTGTTCCTTGCTGGAAACCTACTACAGCCTGGTGTCCTGCAGGGTTCTGACCTACATTGACAAGTTCAAGCAGTTCAGCTTGGATAGAATAAAAAATGAGGTTCTTCATTTTGTCAATTAAGGTTTAGCTTTGGCGAAGAAAGGCTGAATTTTCTTTTAGCAGCTGCTTTATCCTGTAGCATTCAGTAGAAATTATGCCCTCCCAAAGTTAGGTCTCCTCCCTTCAACAGCAAATAAATTCCCAGAGCTCCAGTGTGTGACAACAGCAAAACTGGATGTACTCTATGTAAGTACCTACAAGTGCATGCATATAAGTAAAGTAGAGTATTCCAAGAAACTCTGTCTGTCTTCAGTGTTTTTCAGACTTCTGAGTCCTCAAAACACCTTCTCCACTTTTTATCCAAGTGAGGCATCACCTGCTTCCAAAGAATTTTGTACCAAAGGAGAAGCTTTCCACCCACAGATGGAGCTGCTTCCGAGCAGGTTGGTTTACAGCACCAGGGAGAGGAACAGACACTGAGCCAGCATGGAAAGGGCTCAGGGAGATTCCAGGCAAGAAATCCAACTTGCCTGGTAAAGAATCTTGTATTTCTGTCAGTCATGGCATCAGAGACACATTGACAAGGCAGCTCCAGGACATGGCAGCACACTGGACACAGCACCAGCAGCGAGGTCAGAACAGATCCACCAGCAAACTGGGAACACCAACATGATTCAAAACATAAAAATTCCCCAAAGCAGGATCAAGTCCCAGAACACAAAACCCATCCACACCTCCCTCCTCCAGATAAACTCTTCCATGTCCACTCTTTCAGCAGCAGAAGGACCAGCTGGTCAGGTTTGTCCTACAACTGTGAGGCACCCAGGTACCTCTGACAGCCCCAGCTACTCTTCCCACTGGGATTAAAGGACTTGGAGGTGTCTTCCCAAGGACCCACAATTCTGAAATACCAAGTTATTCTGCTTGTTAACCTTGGCCAAATGTTGAGTTCTGGTTTGGGGTTTTCTGTGTGGGTTTGTTTTGTTCTTTAAACTAAAAGTTTAGCGTGTTACCTCAATTCTCCTTCTTCAGCATTCCATTTCTGGTTTTTCCTCCATTATCTCCACCTGTTAACTTTAAAGAGGGGATGACAGAGACACTCATATTTTCCATTTATATCAGACACAGCAGCATGTAACCCAGATGGCAATGTACAGCATGGGCAGGGAACTGCAAGTGAATAATAAGGGGGAAGTGTGTGATCAATTGATCAATGTTGAGCTCCAAGCTCAATAAAACAAAGCATATGTGCATACATAAAAAAAATCCCCTTGTTTGGCATCTCTGCCTATTCTAAAATATTGTCTTTGGCAAATGTACTATGCAAAGCAGATGCTAAAGACTGAGCACACAGAGTAGCCTTCAAAAGCAGCAGCTGAAAACACACATGGAAGAGACTCATGAATTGCAGAAAAGGTTTATATATTGATTTCTTTTACTGAGGTTTGTAGCATATGGCTCATACAGAGCGACCAGCACACAAAGCCACCTAAAATAACAAAGTTGAACTGCCCAAAACAAGTGCAAAGTAAGGACTTCTATACTCTTTTTATTTCCTTGTCAGTGCTTTGATGTGTTTTTTTTCTGGATGCAGGACTCGTGAAGCTCCATGTTCTCTATTTACAAACAAGACACTGTGGTACATTTCTCACCAGCAGATATTTTTGGGGCACATTTGGGGTGAAAGCAGCAGGAGTGTCATGGAGGAGGACAACTTTTGTCCACCTTGGAGCAGCAAGGCAGATCACCCCTCTCAGACACTTAGCAAACATGAAGGGATCCTCCCCAGCTCCTCTGAGCCCACTTGCACTCCTTGGCAGCGATTTTTGGCAATACCAGCTGCACCTCTACCTCCCACATGCAAGGAGAGAGTTCCTGCATGACTGGATCCTCCTGCTTCCCTGGCAGCACAGGGACACGGGGTGAGCATTGCCAGGTTATCCCTGACTGACACATCACTAAAACAAGCCCCAAAGCAGCAATTCCATGGTTTATTATGCTCCCCCCCCAGCTATTCCTCAAATATGTCCTCAACAAAAATAATATAAGCCTTTGATATAAAGTACACTGTGGTCTCTGTTTATGGACAAAGACACATCTTGATTCTCTCCCACAGTTATCTGACACCTTCAAAAGAAGATTCCAGCTTCCTAAGGTACATTTCCATCCTCCTGGTTCATTCACACCCTTAAACACAAAAGTTTCATGTTCTTACCCCTTTAACTCAGGCAACTAAAATCATATGATTCTTTAAATAACACTTAAAAAAAAATTTCATCTCTGTTAAAAAAACAGTATAAACAATTAAAGATTTGGTTCTGAAGTAGCTTTGTAGTGCTACAGCTCAGGCTCCTTTTGAGCCACTAAACTGAGCTGCCACACCACATTGCAGCCAAGGGAGACAAAGCTCCAGTTTGGTTTGATCCACTACAGCATTGATTTGTTTTCAGAAGGGCTACAAGGTTTGTTTTTTAAATCTTCAGCATAAGATGTAAACAATATTTAGGGTTATTTATTCCAGCAAGACTCACATCCAGCAGGTTGAGAACAGAAGAGAATCCAGTTCATACTCCCTCATGTGGACAGAGTGTGGCTTATTCTCAGCAACAGGATTCTGACAGGATAAAGAATGTGTTCCATGCAAGTGCCAATTTTGGCAGATATAAAAAAAGAATTATTTAAAAAAAAAAAAAGATAAACTATGGCAGCATCTGAGGTTACAAACCTCAAGGTGTTTTGGTGTTTGGTTTTTGCCTTTTTTTAACTGAACTGGAACCTACTGAGAAAACACGATAGAAACTCCCAAATCCAACAACAATTTAACCAACCACCAACAAATACTGCAAAATCAAACACAGTCAGTAGTTGGGAAGTGCAGCAGTTGAGAAGTGCTTACCTGGGTTGTCTCATGACAGCACACAGGGAACTTCTGCTGTGACATTTATGGGGAAACATCAAATAGGCTTTAATTTGCTCTCATGACTCATTTCAAACAGAGTCAAAATATCCTCACATTCCTTTAAAGAGACAACCTAAAGACACCCCAGTGAGGAGAGTCTTTACACCTTGTACCTCAACCCCAGTTTCAGGAACACGTTTTGCAAGACACCGGTGACATTATTCTGCTCCTTCCACAGCTGTGGTAGAAACTGCCTTGACATAGTAAGGGCCCTCCTGCAGGTAAGCCCTGAGCCTCAGGTAGTACTGATTCCCAAAGATCTCTGCAATTGTTTTGGAGTTTACCAGGGCCTTCACCAGTTCGTATTTAGCATCCTTGGAAGCTTTGTCAGGCTCCACAGATCTGTCCACAACGTACTCCACAAACCCCGGGCTGTGCAGCATCAGCTTCTGGGCCCATGGTTGATTTGCAATGGCCTAAAAACAGGAAGAGGTGTGGGAGAGGGGAAACATCTCATTTTAATCCCCCAAAAAGCAGTTACACAGCAGGTTTTTCGGCAAACAGCCAAGGAAGAGGAGAAATGAAATGAGATACTCGTTGCACGCAGTGGTTCCACAACTCAAATCAAGCAGCAGGGTCTAACACTGCACAACAAGCACAGCTCAGTGCTGATCTTCAAAGTTTGAAGGGAATTATCACAGCAGTGCCTCTGGGATGGAGGCAGCACCCTGGAGCACAGCTGTTGCCTTTTTTAACCCTCTCCAATTTACTGGAGACATTACAGACATGATATGTCTGCTGCCTTCTTTAAAAGGGGAATGCAAGTGGGACACAGGGGAAAAAGGCCTATTTCCGACCACTTCTGGGCTTCAGCAAGAAGTTTGGGGCATTCACTTTAAAAAAATCAATAAATCTGACACTGAAGGGCAACACAATTCACTCCCTGATCTTTAAAAGCAAAAGGTACTTACAGTGAACACCCGTAAAGCCCCACAGTGGAGGTCAGGGAATGGCTGAGTGCTGATGCTCCGGAAGAGTTCCAGGGGCTGGCTGGACAGGGATGTGAACCAGGATTCTGTCATCCTTAAAAGGTCTTCTGTCTGCTGCTCTGGCTGCACAAATCACCCCCAAAAACGAAAGAGTTTGATTAGGATTAGGAAAAGTTTTCAGGTTTTCAGTGTATGTTCAAATGGTTTCCTCACTCCTCCACCATTAAACTCAGATCACTGGATTTAAGGAATACACACAGGGATTAGAGCAGTTGCCACCATCCCTTTTAAGCACAAGAATATTAATCTGTTTATTCCCATTCCCTTGTCAATGAAGTCTTGACTTCATATTTTATAAACATTTCATATTTTATAAACATTTCAGAACACCTGGTTTCTTACAGAGTCAACCCTTGAGCAAACAAATCAGGGAATTTCTGAACAGCAAAATCAGTGGCTCAGAATTCCAGAGAGCACCACTTCTACCTAAGCCAGAGGCTTCAGAAGATCTTCTCACAATTACTCAGGTATAATAACAATTTCATTCTTGTAGGTTTAAAGGAAAAAAAAGAACAAACAAGCACCAACTTACAGGCAAGTAAAGAAGAGATGAAATGGCATCCAAGCACCGCAGCCGTAGCTCCGTGGGGGCATTCTTGGCCTGGTGCCCTATTTTGCTCAACAGGTTTTGGAACCTACTTCCTTTCAAAACAAAAGAAAAGTGCTTCTAATTAACTGAGCCAGACCTCTACAGGAGTACAGAGTTACCCCTCAGTCTCATTAGAAATGTATTTATTAGGTAAATACATTTTCCAATTCCTTTTACACGAAATCAATCCACTCTTGTATCACACTGAGAAAGTTTTATTATAGAAAAAAGGTACTAACTAGTTTTCTGTAAAACCTGTTTGCCTTCCACATTTGATCCCAGGATTCCCAGGGTGTCCACAGCCACTCCAATCATGGTTGGATCCTGACTTTCTGCCATTTCAAAGACTTTTTCCATGAAGACAGGGTATCGCTCACAGATCTGCTGGGGACTGTCTACAACTGCCAGATTCCCAAAAAACTTCACAAATCCTGAGAAAACAAGACCAAAATAAAGCACTGAGGGGAGGAACAATAACTTCGGCAACAACAAAACTAAATGTGAGATTGTTTTGTTGCTAAATTTATGTTATCAGTCTGAATAGTGTATAAAGACAGAACTAAAGGAAAAGCCAAAATTTTGTCAGTTCCTTAATTCACAACCTTTACATTCCTAAAAAAAATTCTACAATAACACAAACTTCAAAAGGTACAGCACTTACCTGTACTACCTCTATTAATGAGGAATATTATTCATGTGTCAGTCTGCCCTTCAGCATCTTTTATATATCCAATATTTTATATATTGAACCCTTTCTACATCCAATTTAATATTCAAAAATTCACATGAGGTTTCAAAAGACAGGCTTAACAATTTGACTCATTAACTAAAGCAGGCAGTAAACAAGAAGTGCATGATGTTACCTGGCAAATAGAAGCTGGAGAAAGGATCAGACTCTGCTCCAAGGATGATGTTTGAGATTTTATCAATCACTCCTTGTTGAGCCAGGTACTGCCGGCCCTGGGGGGTGTGGGCCAGCGAGGTCACCATCTCTATACAGGTGGCTCTGGAACACACAAACACTTAGTTTGGCTTGGTTTAGAGGGGTTTGGAAGTATTCAGTGATTAAGACAAAGAAAAAAAAAACGTACCTGTAAGACAAAATCCAAATAAAAACCAAAAAAGAAATTGCCCCAATTGTGTTGAGGTGTAGGAAAGAATTTAAAGTGTTCGTACTGCAGCCACACAATTATCACATCATACTTCACCTCAGCTCTCAAATTAATGTATAAAGTATTTTACACTCAAAGAGGTTTAAGAAGAGGCAGATAAAGTGTTTTCCTGAAAAGGGTTTCACAAAACCCCCACACAAATGTGCTTAAAGAGTGTTATTTTAAGACTGAATATCAGAGTTTTACCAACATACCTGACCAGCACATCCTCTCCAGTCAGCTCCCCAATTAACTCAGATATTAACCCACTGTTTGCACAGTAATTCAGGGACTCTGCTGACACTGAAGAAATCTCCACAATTAACTGAAGAAAAACAAAAAGAAAGGATGGTTTATAAAAACATTCTAATGATAACAACTCACAGTAACGGCCAAATACACCTTATAATGCTGATTATCAAATAGAGAATATATCAAATAGAGAATTTCATGATGTTTTCATCATTAACCCAAAGGTTTGCCTGAAATATGTTTGTAAGGAATCCCAAGCTTACAGCACATTTATTTCCATTCACAGCCAGTTTTCTCTCTGCTATTCCCATTAAGCTCTAGAATGGCTAAATTGTGTTATTTCTTCTTAACCATCCACCTCTAAACTGACACACTGGGCATCTCTCTCATCTATTCCCCCTCCAGAACTTTCAGCAGCATTTCACATGCAGAAAGTTAAGAGACCACAGCAGCCATTTGAATTTTCCTTTCAGAAAGTTCACAAAAGCAGTGCTAAATGTTGATTTAAGAGCCACAAACCCCAGGCTGTGCCTCAGACCCCCCAGGGAACTGCAGCCCCACCTCGTACACTCGGTAGCGAACGACGTCACTCGTGGCCATGACATTTTTCAGGTCACTCAACAAACTGCTCACAAACAAAGCCTCCAGACCTTCTTGTGTCTGGGCTATTCCAGACAGGGATTTGATGGCCTGGAAGCAAAAAAAACAGGAGCTTGGTATTAAAAATAAACAATAAAAAAAAAAATCCAAGATTATCAGGCTTATGTTCTTTATTAACCTATTAAGTCTAGTCACACACTAATTTTAATTACAACTTGTTTTTCATTGATGAAAGCTAGTTATGGTTATTGCCATCCAAGTGTGTGGCATCAAATTCTGATTTACAAGTTCACTTTGGCACCAACATCTGCTGGAAGATGACAGTTCTGGGTAAATTTTCTATCACGACTAAGCAATTTCTCGTAACATCTTTCAAGCACCATGAGCTCTCTTTCCCTCAGGGAAGGGCAGAAGCTGTTCATCTTGGACACGTGGAAAAGATGGTTTGTGCAGAGGAATTAACAACAAAGCCCAGCTCACCTCCTTGGCCACTGCAATCTTCTCTCCCCCGATGCAGTTTATTATTTGCCGTAACAGCTCTGGGCTGTTGAGAATTTCTGTGACAGCACCTGGGTCTTCAACAATCCTCCCAACCTGAGCAAATAATTAGAGAAAATAACATTAAAGCAAGCTTTTTCCACTGTGAGGACATTCAAGCACTGGAAGAGCTCCACAGACAGCCACAATCACCATTCTGGGATCAACACTCCACTGGCCAACACCCTGAGCAGCTGCTTTTAGCTGAGCCTGAAACTTCCAGGAGCCCATTCCAAACCACAATGTTTCCAAACCACAGAAAAGAGTCTCTTAAATCACTGCAAGAAATGTCAAATCACCACAGCCTCTTCCTCTTTGCTGTTTACACAATATTGCCTAAAGTATCCCGAATATAAAAATGTTGCTGCTTTTAATTCTTCCAGCACCTGCTGGTGGTGCTGGCTGGGAAAGCTTTAACCAGAAGTTTCATTTACAAGTTACTTCTGACAGGACAGCTTTATACATTATAACTGACATATCATAAACACACTGCACAGTGATTATCCTAAAATGTGTGCGTGTGTAAGAGCATAACTCTTGCAGTGCTGTGGAGCTTTTAGCACAAATTAAGGCATGAAACAGCAGTAAGAGCTGAGGACTGACCCAGTCTGGCTCCACACAGAGCTGGAGGAACCCCCGTACCTGGGCTATGGTGAGGATCTTCACGGAGTCCTCGGGGTGACAAAGCCCTTTCTGGAGCTCTTCCCGGAGGTTCTGGATCACGTACAGGGGGTCCAGGGCCTGCAGGAGCCTCTCCAGGATGGAAACACACGCGGACACCTGTTCCCTGGGAGGGACGGAGAGGAAACCGAGCCCGTGAGGAAGGAGGGACAAGGCTGTGCCAGCCGTGCCACCCCCACCCTGAAGGAGCCGGGAAGGAGCAAGAACAGCAGCGAAGGGGCAGCGGGGCCACTCACCGGTCACTGGCGCTGAGGAGGGCGAAGAGCGCTCCCAGGTGGTGCTCGCCGAGGCGGGCGCGGAGAGCGGTGGGCGGCACGGCCTGCAAGGCGACCCGCAGGGCCCGCAGCTCCTCGAGCGCCGCGTCCCGCCGGGCCGCCCGCTCCAGCAGCTCCGCCGCCGCCTCCGCCATCTTGGCCGCCGCCTCCGCCATGTCCGCGAAACATCGCGAGAGCTCGGGCCGCCCCTTAGCGACGGCCGGGCAGGGGTATCGCGAGAACTCCGCCCGCCTTGAACAAGGGCTGGGCGGAGTTATCGCGAGATTTCCGCCGCCCTTAGCAACGGCGCGGCGGTTGCTAAGGGCTCCTTTCGTGTCCGGCACTATGTAAACAAATGTCGGCGCACCACGCCCCGTCTTGGCTCCGCCTGATTCGGGCGTGGTCAGAGATGGGCGTGGCCCTGTTGATTGGGGGCGTGGCCCTGCTGGGGGTGTGGTCTCGCTGAAGGGTTGGGGGAGGCTTGGCCCCCGATGTGTTCAAGCTGCTCTTTCTCATCTTTTGTGGATCATAACTGGTGTCCTCGGATAACTTCTACAATAGTAAAGAAAAGAACTTGATGTTTCAAGCACTGCGTAAGATTGCATCACACAAATAAATATGTATTTAGGCGGGTGATAAATAAATATGTGATAGGCGGGTTCATGTCAATTTTACCGTGTAAAATATGTAACTTTCATCCCTCGGGGTGCTTGATTTGAGGAAACCTCCACCCTGCGCCCTGCGCAGAATAAACAACATCTTCTTTCTAAACTATGCTATATGTCTGTGTTTGGAGAGCTCCTAAAATCGGGTCCCAGAGCAGACCCCCCCAAATGGTGTCACCCCTGTGATGGGGGGACCTGGAGGAGTTTGCAGGGGGGGCAGAGCCGGGACCCCCTCAAGCCTTAGGGACAGCTCGGCCACTGCAAAAAAACTCGGAATTTGTTTCAAACCAGCTGAGAAAATGTCAATTTTTCAACCCCTGGAGAATTAAGTGAAGGAAAGCCCTGTAGAGCCCGGGGGTATTTCACACCTCCTGAGATCCCAAGGTGGCAACGTGTCATCGGCACCTTCCAGAGCACAGAGGGGCAGGTTCTAAATCCAGGCTGGAATATGTTTTACAGCTTATGGGACCTGACAGGAACCCAGCAAAGTTACAGCAGGAACACAATCAAGTTACAGCAGCAACCCAATGAAGTTATGGTGTGAGACAGAGAGCAGCGCTCGGTTCCTCCTTGCTGGAGGTTTTAGGCACAAACAACACAACAGGATTTGGCAGCTGCCTGATGGTTTCTATCCAAAGAGTACAGAGCCCTGACAACATTAAATCTGAGAAAACAACTGTTTTATGGATGGGAAATTCAAAGCAAAAGTGACAAGTGGCATCAGCAGGTCTCAGAGCATATGGGACAGCACAGGGAGAACCGAAGAGTACAGAGCCCTGACAACATTAAATCTGAGAAAATAACTGTTTTATGGATGGGAAATTCAAAGCAAAAGTGACAAGTGGCATCAGCAGGTCTCAGAGCACCAGGGACAGCACTGGAGAGAGAGATTTCCCCGGCACACGTTGGGGGGGATAATACACCCAGGGGGGTGTATTATTATTATTTGATAATACACCACCCAGGGGTTTGTCTGTCCCTGTTATGGTTGGACCCCAATTTTGGGCAATCTGTCCCCCCAGTCCCACGGGTCAGGCAGGGGCAGAGAGGGGGATGCCAAGGCTCGGGGTGGCAGGAGGGGACAGAACACTGCGCTGTCCCCTGTCCCTGCCCCAGCCCCTGGCCGGGCAGGCAGGCGGGTACCAGCCGGGGAGGAAGAGGAGGAGGAGTTAGTGCTCGCATGGGCAGCCTGCCCAGGCAGCATTCCCAGCTCGGGCAGAGCAGGTGGAGGGACGGAGGGGACGGACATGGAGTGGCTGAGCCAGCGCTGCCCGTTGCCATCCGCTGCCCAGGGCTGGTCCCGGCCAGGCCGGGGCACTTTGCTGCTGGTAAGTGGGATGGGGATGCTCTGGCACCGGGATGGGGATGGGGGAGGACACGGGTGACCCTTTGGGGACATCGACCCACACCAAACAACCATGGAAATACCTGCCTGTACCTTTGTAAGGGAACCTCTGCACGAATCCATCTCGCAGGAGGAATGTCCTCCCCGTCTCTGCCCAGAGCAAAGCAAATTTCCAAGGAGTTTTTTTTTTTCCTGCTTGCTCTCAGGAAGCTCGGGGCAAACTCAGCGTTGCCATGAGTTGTGTTTGGGTGGTGTTGTTTGTTGGGTTTTTTTTTTAACACAGTCTCATCAAAACTAGGCAGAAAGTCCTAACGTGGTGATTCTAAAGCTGTTTCTAGTTCAGCAAAGCCAAAACAAATATTGCAGAAATCTCTGAGTCTCTCTGTCATTTTGCTGTTCAGTTCTTTTCAGTGAAGTGCTTAAAATCTGACAGGGGTGTTTTCAGTTTTGTTCAATATTTTGGCAATCACGAGTTTGTTTAGTGTATCAGGCAGGAATCCTGAAGTTTCACTCCTCTTTTCCACCATCCCTTAGCAAATACAATTATTCTAAGGAAAAAAAAGGGGGTGGGAGTCTTTTATCTTTCTTTTCACAGATAAAAAGGAGGCAAACATCCCCCCGCAAAAGAGAGTGCTCATATTTGTACTAATATTCAATCATAAATGGTCCTGGGGATTTATGCACATACATCTTCCAAGAAGATTAATGATCTCCAGGCTGAACAGGTTGGATTTTTTTCCTGAGCCAGGAGCATGATTACATTTTAATCTGGAAAAATAGGTACACCAGCGTATCCCTGTTTGGCTTGTAATTCTCTGAGTAGCTCCTGGGATTTGTTGTATATTTGTTAAATGGCTTAATGGGAAAAAAGAGCACAGAAGGAGCTCTAAAAATTATTATGAGAAACCTTGTGATAACAAAGAATATTTCCTCAAATGGACTGGAAAAGAGGAGACAAGCAATAGAACACATCAGTCATTTTCCAAATGGAAAAGAGCTCTTGACTTTGTGGTGACAAGAGAGATTTTTAATTCAATCTTTAAAAAAAAAAAACAAAGAATTTGACATTGACACTGTGATGGGAGGATTTTCAGAGGACAAAGGAAGGTGGAAATGAGAAGGGAAAAGGAATACATTCTTAGTCTTATAAGCATGTTTTAATCACTGTAGCTGAACCAGGGCCAGATGCTGTTTGTGTCACAAACAAGACAAAAGACAAAGGGAGGAGCAGCTGTGAGACCCTGCGAGTGCTGCAGCCCTGCACGGCCCCATCCCTGCCTGTTCCTCAGCACTCCAGATTCCTCTCCCTCTCCAGCAGCATCCCTGCTGAGATAATGATATATTTTTATGAGTCTGTTAATGGCATGTGAGCACAAGCAGCAGCCACGGGCTTGCCAGGAATCGCAGCTAATGCACAGCAAAACCCACTTGTTGCTGTGCCCTGCCAGGCCACGGGGAGAACGGTGCTGTTTGTGCAGCCCTACAGACCTGGGATGTGCCATTAGGATTTCTGGGCCCAAAAGGATCGAATTTCACTGTTAGCATCAGGTAATTAGGATGAAATGAACTTAAAAGCTGCCTTGAAGTCTTGCCCTCCCTTGCAGGCTGTAGCATGGCTCAGGTGGGCTGCACAGCAGCCATGGCAGAGGAGAATAATCATCCTGAGAATAATCATCCTGGGCTGGCAGGGCAGGATTAAAGCTCTCCAGGTGCACAGGCTGGGGCTCTGGTCCCCTCTCAGGCTCCAGCCCAAATCTGTTTTCCATGGACACACTATGTGACACACTGCTCTTCTCCTTCCCACATCCCCAGGGAGGCAGAGGGCCCTGGCCTCCCATTTCCCAGAGGGATGGACATGCCTCACCCTTGGCACACGGCTCAAGGATGGCTGCAGGATGTGTCCTCAGCAGGGAAGATGTGCTCGGTGTGGGAGCCATTCCCTTCTTGTTCCTTTTTTTTTGCATAGAAACGTGTATTTATTCTTCTGTGGAAAACCAGTCCTGGCTGCTGGGCTGTGGCAGGGGGGTCTGTAACCCTGTTAGTCCAGGGGTGACCTCCCACAGCCGAGGTCTGGGCACCTCTGGGCTGATACAGCCTCCAAACTGCCCCTCTCCTGCCCCGAGCACTTGGCACAGCACAGGATTGTCCCCCGTGGAGTGGAATTAATCCCTTTACGAGCACGTTCTCCCCTAAATCCCAGCTGCTCACTGCAGCGTTGAAAGGAGCCTGGAAATGTCCCTCAGGCCACAGACCGTGTAAATGCTGAGTTTTCCAAAGTGCAGTGTTTCCCCTGCCACCCTCACCGGTGTTCTTCCCACCCCCTCTGGTGTCTCCTGGAGGTGCTGACGCTGGTGGTGCTGATGTACCCACTGCTCAGGGGTCTGGCCCTGCAGCTCCACTCCGCCCTCACCGGCAGCTACATCCCGGGGAGCAGCTCCATGGCCTTCATCAACTGCCTCAACGAGCAGGTTGCCAAGGATATTGCAAGGTATGGAGATGTCTCCCCTGCTCTTCTGCTTTGGTGGGTCCAAAGCTGCTCCTTGTGGAATAAAGCTTTCCCTTGTCCCTCGAGAGGATCTGCACCCCCTGTGTATTTTGCATTTCTAGGGTGGGGAGGCCCTGGCACAGGTTGCCCAGAGAAGCTGTGGCTGCCCCATCCCTGGCAGTGTCCAAGGTCAAGTTGGACAGGGCTTGGAGCAACCTCAGACAGTGGAAGGTGTCCCTCAGCATGGCAGGGATAGAATGAGATGACCTTTAAGATCCCTTCCAATCCAAACCATTCCATGGTTCTCTGATACCAGAGCATCGCTCCTTTTCACTGACACTCTTTCTGTGCCACAAACCCCCTTACCAAGAGCTGTTCTGTCTCAAAGAGAGCTGACAGTTGCCTCTGAAGTCAATGCCATGGTAACATCAAGTAATTCTCAATTTATTCCGCTGCCTCTCATTTTCAAGGCCCATTTTAAAGCCATGGCCCTGAGTCTCTGTGTCCTCAGATGGACTAAGCCCCAGCCCCTTGTTCTCTAATGTGCCACAGTTTTTCTTCTTCTCTAGAGCAGCAGACAACAAAATACCGGGAGGGGCATTTGTAAAGAGGGACAAAGCACATGCCATGCAAATACAAAAAAAGATGTCAGGAGGTCCACAACAAACACTGGTGAGGT